CTGCCTTGTGCGCTGGGCCTCGGCTGGTCTTCATGGCAGCGTTTGGTAATGTCCATCTTGGCAGCTCCTGCCTGAGCAGAGGAAGTTGACCTGTGCCCGCTGGAAGGCTGGGGAAACTGAGGCACTGGTCATCATCACAGTGAGGAAGTGGCTGGAGTATTACCTTTCCATTCATTCCTTGGAAGACGTTTTGTTTTTGTGCCACTCTTGGGACTTGAACTCGGTGCTTTCCCTCACTCAAGGCCGGCACTGTACCCCTTGAGCCACAGCTCCACCTCTGCGTTTTGGGTGGTTCATTGAAGATAAAGAGTCCTGTGGACTTTCCTGTCTGGGCTGGTTTCCAGCTGTGATTCTCAGATTGCAGCCTCCTGAGTAGCTGGGATTGCAGGCGTGAGCCACGGTGCCCAGCTTGTTTTGTCTTTTGACTCCAGTTCTTGCTGGGCAGCCCCTCTGGTCCTCCTGCCTCGGGCTCTGGAGTGCTGGGTCTCAGGGTGGCCACTGTGTCTGGCGGAGGACCTTTTCCTGGCTTCCTGGGGATGAGCAACAGAAAGCTGTCTCTGGACCGCCCCACCCCGCCCGGCCCTCCTGCACAGGGCTGGCCTGCCTTGGCACGGCGTGTGGGTTCAGAGGGGCCGCTCTTTGCCAAGGGTCTTCCTGTGTGTTTTTGGATGTTTCTGAGCACCCGGGGCCTCACCCGGTGATGCCTTAGCGCCCTCCCCCCCCCATCGATGCTGGTCCTTGTGTCCCCAGACAGAAACCCCTTGCCCAGCCGCAGCCACCAGCCTGGCTTCTGCTCACCGAGTAACACATGCACTGCCTCGGCCTGGGGTACAATGTGGGACTGTAGGGCTCACCACACGGCCCCCTTGCCAGTGGGGGAAACTGAGGCTGCACAGTTGAGTCCAAGGGAGCTGAGTTCAGATCCTGTCTGTGACCCTGACAGTCTGAGCTCTTGTGAGCCCATTCAGTAAGTTTTAATTTAATTAATTAATTTACTATTTTTGTCATTTCTGGGGCTTGAACTCAGGGCCTGGGCACTGTCCCTGAGCTTCTTTTGCTCAAGGCTAGCACTCTAGCGCTTGAGCCACAGCACCACTTCTGGCTTTTTCTGTGTATGTGGTACAGAGGAACTGAATCCAGGGCTTCATGCGTGCTAGGCAAGCACTCTACCACTAAGCCACATTCCCAGCCCCTCAGTGGTTTTTGTTGTTTTGGTTTTGTTTTGTTTTTGGTCCATTGTGGGGCCTGAACTCTGGGTCTGGGTGCTGTCCCTTAGCTCTTCAGCTCAAGGCGAGCACTCTACCACTTGAGCCACAGCACCATTTCTGGTTTTCTGGTGGTTTACTGGAGATAAGAGTCTCACGGACTTTCCTCCCTGGTTGGCTTTGAATGGCGATCCTCAGATCTCAGCCTCCTGAGTAGCTAGGATTACAGGCGTGAGCCACTGTCACCCAGCTCCCTCAATGGGTTTTTTTTTGGGGGGGGGGTTCCGGTCGTGGAGCCTGAACTCTGGGTGGGCCTGAGTGCTGTCCTTCAGCTCTTCAGCTCAAAGCTACTGCTCTAACACTTGAGCCACAGCACCACTTCCGGCTTTTTTCTTTTTGCTTATGTAGTGCTGAGGAATCGAACCCAGGGCCTCAGGCATGCAAGGCAAGTGCTCTACCACTGAGCCACCTTCCCAGCCCCCTCAATGAGTTTTAAAAGAGCTCCTGCTGGGATCTGGGTCCTGCCAGAGGCCCCTTTCCCGGCTGTTGTCCATGGTGATGGTGGAAGAAGCTTCCAGAAGCTTCCTCACAGCTCAGGGAATAGTCCTGTGAGGATCCAGAGGGCAGGTGTCCCAGGCAGGAGACTCAGTCTATGCAAAGGCCCTGTGGCCACACAAGGACCTGGGCTGGTGAGGGTGGGTGCTTGGACCATGGCTGTGACTGCTGGCTGGTGACCCTGAGGCTCTGAAGGTCAGCATCGCTGTGTCTTGGGGACTTTGTCTGTGGTCTGTGTGGTGTTGGCAGTGATACTGACTCAGACCTCCTCCCTGTCCCCATGGCTGGGGTGTTGGGGGGCCGAGCCCGGGTTCTGGCCCTGGTAGGCTGTATGGAGGGGCCTGGCCTGTAGGACGGTGCCCACGGGCGTCAGCCAGGTGGGGTCGGGGCGGACGGCTCCATCCCTAGGGAGGAAGGTGCTGCAGAGACTGTCTGGTCTGGGAGGCCTTCTCAGAGAGCTGCAGGACGGGCGGGGGGGGGGAGGACTCCCCTGTTCTGGCACCACCACTTCTGTGGAATCTGCAATGGAAAAACAGAAATGGGGCCAAGCCTTGCCTGGAGCGGGAGACCCTGGCTTCAGTGCAGGCTCTGTGGGGACCCCTAGTGCCCCCCATCTGTCTGGGCACTGTCTGCCACTGCCTGGTGGGGGGGTTCAACCTTCGGCTCGGGGCTTCGGGTGCAGACCTGCCCCCCATCTGCGGGGCACAGGCTTGTCTGTGCTGGCTGGGCACTGGGACCTGCCTCCCAGCCTCCCAGCCACCCCGGGCCCCTTAGTCCAGAAAAGAAGGGTGGGCCGGGCGCCGGTGGCTCATGCCTGTCATCCTAGCTACTCAGGAGGCTGAGAGCTGAGGATCATGGTTCAAAGCCAGCCGGGCAGGAAAGTCCGTGGGAATCTTATCTCCAATGAACCACCAGAAAACCGGAAGTGGCGCTATGGCTCAAGCAGTAGAGCACTGGCCTTGAGCTGAAGAGCTGAGGGACAGCACCCAGGCCCAGAGTTCAAGCCCCACGATCGACAAAAACCAAAAAAAAGGGGGGTGGGTGTGCTGAGGGGGCTCTCAGGATGCTCAGGCATTTACTAACGGGGTGTCATGGGGACAAGGCCTGTGTGACCCCTCCCAGGCCCAGAGCCAAGCGAGCAGGAGAGCCAGGGTCCCCCTTCTCCGGTCCCCAGCTCAGAAAGCAAGGGGACCCAGGAGCCTGGCCACTGCGGGGTCCCCGCCCGGGAGTGGGCAGCACAGCTCAGGCGGGTAGAGTGGCACAGGGTCACCCCGCCACCCGAGGCGCAGTCCCGGGCCCCTGGGGACCGAAGGCCGCAGCAGCCGGGGCGGTGGGGGGGAGTGCACCTCAGTGCTGTCCTTTCCCCACCCCAACTCGAGGGCCGCCGCCCGGCGCCTGACCACAGCCACACCCGCCGAGGGACGCTCAGCCATGTGCAGAGGAGCCGAAGCACCAGGGGAAGCGTCCCCAGTGTTCTGGGAGAACCGTGTGGTTCCTTGTCCTGGCACGAGGTGCTCAGAGGCTCCACGTGGGCCACCCATGCCTGTCCTCAGCCAGAGTGCCACGCTTAAAACTGGAAACGCCCACCGTCTTTCTTTTGTCGGTCGTGGGGCTTGAACTCAGGGCCTGGGCGCTGTCCCTGAGCTCTTCAGCTCAAGGCCAGTGCTCTACTGCTTGAGCCACAGTGCCACTTCTGGTTTTCTAGTGGTTTATTGGAGATAAGAGTCTCACGGACTTTCCTGCCCGGCTGGCTTTGAACCGCGATCCTCAGATCTCAGCCTCCTGAGTAGCTAGGATGACAGGCGTGAGCCACTGGTGCCGGGCTTCTTTCTTTTCTGTATAACCTGCTCATTTTGTGAAACAATTCCACTGCACAAGATCAGTTTCTTGTTCTGTAGTTCCACACCTAGCTGAGGCACCTGGGCAGGCAGCCGCCCTCAGGGTGCCAGCCAGTGCAGGGCAGTGCCCGCCCGGCCGTCCCACACAACTCCCTCCACGCATGCGCAGCACTGGATGCCCGCTTCCCTGACGGGCAATGCCCCCCCCACATGCATGACTACACTGTGCGCCCTGCCCTGCCCGGCCGGGTCTCCCTATGCCCCGGGCCAGCCCTGAGTGAGTGCATACAAGTCTGCTTTAAGCCAGGCCCCTGCCTCAGTGTCCCTGGAGTCCGGGCAGTGATGGCTGGCCCTCTGCCCTGGTTGAAAGGACATGGCTGCCAGCTCCTGCCTCCAGCCTACACTGGAGCTCCAGTGCTGCCACCCTGCGTGGGGCCTCCGGTTCCCCACTAAGGAAGTAAGATCATACTACCTCTTCCTAGTCTTAGGGTTCAGCTGGTCACCACTGGAGGCCTCCACAGTCTAAATCTGGGGGTCCCAGAGTCTCAGGCACCTGTACCAGGGTGTCTAGGGGTGCTGCATCTACGCATTGCCTGTGGCTGCACCTTCCTCCCCTTCCTCTTCCTCCAGCCCTTCCGTGGCCTGCGTGGTCCCTCCCTTGGCTGGGTGAGGGTCAGGGCCGTGTGTGATCCCCGCAGGGTCTGAGCCACCCCGGAACCCCTACAGCTCCCCATCTTTTTGCTGAACCCCCAGAGCCGCCCAGATTTATCAAAGAACCCAAGGACCAAATCGGAGTGTCGGGGGGCGTGGCCTCGTTTGTGTGCCAGGCGGCGGGCGACCCCAAGCCTCGGGTGACCTGGAACAAGAAGGGCAAGAAGGTCAACTCGCAGCGCTTCGAGGTGAGTCGAGCGTGGAGGCCGCGTCCCAGAGCGCCCCCCTCCCCCCGCGGCCACACTGGGGCCCGGCCTGCCACGGCCCGCTGCCTGGGTGCTGGGGCCCAGGCTAGGCCTTGCCCTCTCTGAGCCGGAACACTGCACCACATGCCCAGGCCCCCCATGCGGCCTCACCCGCCCGCCCTCCCCGCAGACCATCGAGTTTGACGAGAGCTCCGGAGCCGTGCTCAGGATCCAGCCGCTCCGGACGCCCCGGGACGAGAACGTGTACGAGTGTGTGGCCCAGAACTCGGTCGGGGAGATCACCGTCCATGCCAAACTCACCGTCCTGAGAGGTACGCGGCTCCCTGGGGGGCGGAGGGGGGGGACAGGGCGGACCCTGGGCTTTGGGGACAAAATAGGTGGCCTTGAACTCCGCTTTGGATTTCCCTTGCCCAGCTGGTAACCGGGGCCGGGCCGCACGGGGGAGTGGTGCCAGGCGGAGACCCTCACGCATTACCTCAGCGGGGATCTTCCACTTACAAGGACCCGGCCCCGCTCCGGGGCATGTGAGAAAGACAGGGCCTATCTGTCATTACAGCATCTGGGAAGTAGACTGGCTTCAGGTCTGGCTTGATCTAGGGGTTCAGTTGGTGCTCCCACACTTTCTCCTGGCCATGTTTTCTTCCATGTTGTCTTGATCCCTGGCCAGCCCCACCCAGCCTTCACCCGGGGAGCTGCCCATGACTCTGGAAGAAGCGGCTGTGTGTGGTAACTTCCTTCCAGGCGGGTCAGGTCCCAAGGAGGGGCTCAGGGAGAGGCAGCTCCCCGAAACCCAGGGCGAACAGAGGCAGCCAGTGCTCTGAGCCACTTGCCTGGCCTCCGGGCTGGTCTTGCTGGGGTTAGCTGGGCTCCAGGCTGGTCTTGCTGGGGTAAGCTGGGGCACCAAGGAATTTCCCCGGCTGCCCTCTCTGCCTTCTCCCTTCCCACAGCAGGGCTTTGGCTCGCAGGTGCTACCCACCCTAAGATCACACCCCCGCAGTTGTTGCTGTGTGACTTCAGGCAGGCGCATGAGCCTCTCTGAGCAATGGTCAGGAAGTGGACAGTGACGGGCAGAGTGCGAGGACTTGGGGACCACGATTGGCCTCTCTGCACTGTTTAATTTTCTTTCTTTTTTTTGGGGGGGTCCGGTCATGGGCCTGAACTCTGGGCCTAGGCACTGTCCCTCAGCTCTACAGTTCACGGCTAGCGCTCTACCACTTGAGCCACAGTGCCACTTCCGGCTTTTTTCTTTTTGCTTATGTGGTGCTGAGGAATTGAACCCAGGGCCTCTGGCATGCAAGGCAAGCGCTCTACCACTGAGCCGCCTTCCCAGCCCCTGCACTGTTTAATTTTCACTGTGATTGTTATTCTGGTTTTAACAAAGCAGCAGCCCTTGGCCGGGTGTCCCCAACCTGTCACTAGACAGGTTCACATGGTGGGGATAGGCAGACAACCTGCTCAGCCTGCGACCCTCCCCATCCCCTCCTCCCTGTTCCCTTTTTCCCCCTCCTTTTTCCCTCCTCTCTCCTCCCTCCTCTCTGATCTCTTAAGTCCCTGTCTGGAAATCTTTCTCCTTCCTGACAAGGACCCACAGTCTAGGCTCTGTGTGTGTGTGGGGTTGGGGGGCGGAGTCTGTCCTGTCCCGCCCCCTCCCAGGCTATTTTTGCCTGACCTTTCCTGGGCACAGACCGCCCAAGGCCTCCCCATTGTCCATGCCCATCCCCATTGTTGGGGCCCCCAGAGCCAGGACTCCAAAGCTCTGAATGTGGCCTAACTCCTGCCCAGGCCCTACAGGCCTCCCTGAGAGGCTGTTCTGGACTGGCCCTGCCCTCCCCACAGAGGCCTAGGCTTGTCCCTCTCCTGCCCCGGCCCCCTGCCTGGGCCTCCTGCCTCCCAGGGGCTGCCAGGGCCCCTCCCCTCAACACTGCCTCCTTCTCCTCCTCCATCGCGCCATCTGATTGTGGACCCAGTGCACGCCTCTGCACTGTTGTTTTCGTTCAGCTCCGAGGACTCCAGCACATTGTGGTGCGCGGTGAACATTTCTGTTTGATTAGCGCAGGATGGCCAGGCCCTGCTCGCTGGCTGGCTGCTGCCCACACAGGCGCCGGGGACCCCGCAGCCTGCACCACGGGCACTTGGGGCACCGCGCTCTGCCGCGCGCCGTGCAGCCCACGCCCGCGGCCCCCAGGGGCACCGGGCCTGCCATTTTGGGTGGTATTGGGGACTCACCACGCCCGGCCCAGGAAGGATGGTGAGCCTGAGCCTGATGGTTCTGGTTCAGTCCTGCCCTGGCCCGTCCTGGGCATAACCTGGGCAGGTGTGTCTGGCTGAGCCTCAGTTTCCCCCAAGGATGCTGTGCCCCATCCTATACAGCCCCTGACGTGCGGTCCAGGGGCTCTGTCCACCCCAGCGAGACTGTGGCTCTACCCTGGCCTCGGCCCGTGTGTACCCGGGGCTCCACCTCCCCTCCCCACAATGGCAGCTTCTGGCTGGCTGTTCCCGGTGCCCCTGTCCCTCTGACCTTTGTCAGCAAGCACGCGCCTGGCTTGCCCACAGTCTGTCACCCGAGTTCACCTCGCCACAGGGGGTAGAGAAGCAAATGCCCATGGCTGTGTGCCAATAAAACTTTATTAACAAAAAGGCCACCTTGGCCTCTGCTGAACTTGGGGCACCTAGCAACTTGCTCTCAACCGGATGCTGTGACCCCTGTTTTTCCAAGGTCCTACCTGCAGATGGCCAGGTTCCTACTGGCCATGGAGGGGTCACCTGCACCCCGGCCGCGGCTTGTGCCTCAGCCAGCCAGGTCCCTCCCTAGTCCACTGGACGCTGAGCCCGGGGCTCGGGCACCAGCTGTGCTGAGCTGAGAGCCCACCAGCCAGCCAGCTGCAGCCTGAGCGGCCGGTCTTGTCATTGTGTCTCCTGTCCCTCGGGACAGTGAGGAGGACCAGAGTGGTCGCCCCAGGCATCCCCTAGCTGTGGACCCGTCCGCTGCCGCAGCCACGGGGCAAGGTGGGCACGCAGCACACACAGCAGCCATGGCCTTGAGCCTGTGGGAGGGCAGCGGGGTCCCCCCGGCCCCGTGACTTTTGATGGCCCCTTCGCACGTCTTCCTGTGATGGGTGTGTGAGTCCCTCCTGTAAGGACTGCGACCTCATTTTACCTTAGTCTCCTCTTTATTTATTTTTTGGTTGGTCGTGGGGCCTGAGCTCTGGGCCTGGATGCTGTCCCTCAGCTCTCCAGCTCAAGGCTAGCGCTGTACCACTTGAGCCACAGCGCCACTTCCGGCTTTTTTCTTTTTGCTTATGTGGTGCTGAGGAATCGAACCCAGGGCCTCATGAATGCAAGGCAAGTACTCTACCACTGAGCCACCTTCCCAGCCTTTAGTCTCCTCTTTAGAAGACCCGCTTCCGAACATAGGGTGGTCCTGAGATTGTAGATGCCATGTTTCAACACACGTCTTGTGTTTTGGGGTCACAACTCAGCCTTGACAGGATACCATTGGGCATCTCTTGGTTATGGTGTTTTGTTCTTTTTCCTCTGGGCGCCGTCCCTCAGCTCTTCAGCTCAAGGCGAGCGCTCTACCACCTGAGCCACAGCATCACTTCCGGTTATCTGGTGGTTTATTGGAGATAAGAGTCTCATGGATTTCCTGCCTGGGCTGGTTTTGAACCATGATCCTCAAATCTCAGCCTCCTGAGTAGCTAGGATTACAACCCAGCTGGTGGTGGTTTTTTTGTTTTTTTTTTTTTGAGACAGGGTCTAACCATGATCCTCCTGCCTTAGCCTTCCAAGTGCTGGCATTGCAGGTGTGTGCTTCGGTGCCCCTCTCCTGCCCCAGCAGCCCTGCACTGAGGGAAAGGGTGGGCGGGGTAGGGCTGGGATGTGGGTAGTGGGTGGGTCCACAGCTAGGTGATGCCTGGGGCTAGCACTCTGGTCCTCCTCACTGGCTCCAGCAGGCCACCAGCCCTGTCCCACGGCAGCCCGTCCCGGGCCCTGCGCCACGCCGCGCTCCACCCCCGGGCTGCCAGCCCAGACCTGGTCATTTGCTCATCTGTTTGCTGAGCTGGGGTTTGAGTCCTGGGAAGAAAGGCAGTGGGGACCACGGAGGGCCGGGGCTGCTCACTGTGGCCACAGCCAGCGAGCCACTTTCTGTTGCCTTGGTGCTGTGTACATTTGGGGCATCATGCCCGTGCAGAAAGTGGGGTTCCTGGAAGTGGTGCTGTGGCTCAAGTGGTAGAGCGCTAGCCTTGAGCTGAAGAGCCGAGGGACAGCGTCCAGGCCCAGAGTTCAGGCCCCACGACTGGCCAAAAAAAAAAAATTATGAAAAGAAAGTGGGGTTCCTGGACTGCACCCCCCCTGCTCGTGCCAGAGCCCCCGTCCCTCAGGGAATGGATTCGGATTCCACACCCGATACCACCTGGGCCTCCAGGGCGCACCCAGGCAAGGAAGGACCACGGATCCGACCCACGGCTCCGATGGGGGCCTGGGCCACGTGGGGTCATCGCGGGCGCAGACAAGGGGCGCCCGCCACGATCCGACCTCAGCCCTGTCTCCCCAGAGGACCAGCTGCCCCCCGGCTTCCCCAACATCGACATGGGCCCCCAGCTGAAGGTGGTGGAGAGGACGCGGACGGCCACCATGCTGTGTGCTGCCAGCGGGAACCCTGACCCCGAGATCACCTGGTTCAAGGACTTCCTGCCGGTGGACCCCAGCGCCAGCGGCGGGCGCATCAAGCAGCTGCGCTCAGGTGAGCCGGGCTCGGGGGGTGGGGGCTCGGGACCGGGAGGGGCGGCAGGCGCAGACCTGCAGCAGATCCGGAGGTGTAGAGGCGGGGTGCAGCATCCTCATGGGCTGTTCAGAAGGGTGCAGTGAGCCAAGAGTGGGGAGGAGGGCAGGTGGCGGGGAGAGGGCTCTGGGTGAAGGTGGAGGCTGCGCTGGGCCCAGGGAGGCTGTGCAGAGAGAGGGAAAGAGGGAGGGGGGGGGGAGGGGGAGGGGAGGGGGGAACTCCGGTGCGGAGTGGAGCCGCAGTGGGCAGTGCCCCAGCGCTGGCCTCGTTGGTGAGGGGTCTGTGTGGGGCGTCGTGTGCCCGTGTCACTGTCCCATCCTTGTGGCCTGTCTGTGTGCGTGTGCCAGCTCCCCGTGTGACCCGACCTGCGTCCTGCGTGGGTGAGAACACGCAGGGTGCACCTTGGCCACACAGCGGTCCTGCCGTGTGTCCCTCCTGCCGTGTGTCCCTCCGGCCCCGCCCAGTCAGTCCCACAGTACTGATCAGGAGCTCCTGCGGTCACCTGGCCTCTGTGGAGCAGCCCCACGGAGTGGGCACCCGGCCTCAGTTTCCTTATAAATCAACAGCTTCCTGCGGGACGCGGTGTGGGCTGGCGCTGCACCGCCCTGCCCCTCTCCCGTCCTGACTCACGGGCAGGCGCCCGCAGCTCCGCATTAACACTCTGTTCTCTTTTCTTGTCCCCCATAAACGCTCAGAAACCTTTGGTAAGTCTGATCTCCATGACAACCACTAACGGCCCCCACCCCACCCCCGCCTCCCCACACTAACAGCCACGTGCGGTCACTGCCCCCCACGAGGCATGCGACTAACTTCCCGTGCTGCCCGGAAGGAAGAGAGGAAAGGGACCCGCTAGGCCGCAGGGCGGTGCGGGCCGCAGGCTTCCGTGCCCCCCACCCGTGGCCCGTGGGCTGCAGAAAGGGGCTCATACCGCGTGGGTACTGGAACTATGGTAGCAGCACTGGTTCTGGGAGCTTCTCTCCCTTTTCCCAGTGTTTAGCCTGAAGCCATTGAAAACCAGCTCATTCTGACTAAGGTGGGCGTGGCAGATAGGGGACCACCATGGCTCAGAGGTGAGCCGCACACTAGCGTGTGCGTTCATTGCCAGCTCTGCAGAGAGACGCAGGAGACAGATCCTTTCACACCTGTGATCTGGCCGTCCCGGAACCCCTAGTTCTTCTACCATGTCTTCCGGGTGCAGGGAAGCTGCATAGGTCCAGGGTTGGCTCTAGTCCCGCCCTCCAGGCTTCCAGTTCCGCCCTGTGGCCATCAGCAAATTCCCCTTGCCTCTGTGGCGCCGGCAGCGTGGCCATCCATAGCACTGAGAGCAGGTCCAGAGAGGGCCTGAGCGACGCGCAGTTCACGCGAGAGCATGCCCAGCCCACAGCCCATCCTGCCTCAGCCGCAGAATTCGAACTCAGAGCCGCCATTCCTGCTGGCCTATGTACCCTTCTGGAAAACAAGCCTGGGCCATCTGGAAGGAAGGACCTGTATTTCTTGTCCCTGTAGCTGGTCACAGCTTCCTGCGCCTGGTCTTGGGGTCCCGTCGTCCCAGGGCAGGGGCCGGGGCAGGCGGGTAGATCGCGGGCAGACGCCGCTCCTGGCTCCGTCCTGCGGGCACGGCAGGCAGGCTGCCTTTTCCTCTTCTCCTCAGGGGTGGCAGGCGGTGGGGCGCCCAGTCCTCAGTGCCCTTCCCTGCCCTCCCCCTCAGCCTGTTGGTGATGCCTGACCTTTGCTACGTGTCTGGCCCCGGGCACTAACTGTCCTCCCTGTCCTGTCTCTAACAAGACTCCCAAAACCCTGCTGCTCCTGTCCCCGCAGTCTGGACTTCACTAAAAATAGCCCCTTGTTGGAGCCCCAGAACCCTGAGAGGGGAAGCAGCCCTCAGGCCAAGCCAGAACTGAGCTTCTAGGCTCAGCCTCCTTGGAACCCCGATTGCCACCTCCTCCAGAAAGCCCTGGAGCCTGCAGGCCCAGTGGTGGCTGCTGTCCTACTGGGCAGTCCCATCTCTGGCCACACCCCCACAACTGCACTCACCTGAGTGGACAGGCCAGCTTGAGGTCCCGCCTCCCTGGCCCTGCCCCTGACCACCCTCACTGATGTGAGTGGACAGGCCTGCTCATGGTCCCGCCTCCCTGGCCCCACCCTCTGGCCGCCCTGTCACTCACCTGACTCTCTCTGCTTCCCTTCACAGAAAGCACTCCGATCCGAGGTAAGAGGTTCCTTCCCGCTTACCTGCCACTTACTGCCCCCAGACCCTCTTGACTCCATGACCCCCCAGAACCCAGTCTTCTTACCCCACCTAGCGTCTATCTGGTGTCTGTGTCTGTGTCTCTGTCTGGGGCCAAGGGGGAACAGTGGTGATACCTCAGGCCACCTGGTCGGGGAGGGGAGGGAGTGCTGGGAGTCAGGTGTGTGGCCACCGCTCAGTGCCCAGCCCTGCCCTGGACACATGTAGTTTTAACACCCGTATGAAGGATTTCAGAAGGGAATTTCCTTCAAGTGCTGATGATCTCAGAAGCTGAAGCTTTGACGGCCCTCGGGGCCAGGTCCAGTGTCAGCTCCGTGTGTCCACAGCCTGGGCGTGGAGTGCGGGCTCTCACTCGGAGCCTGCAGGTGGCTTCCTGGTGCTGGGGCTCTGCTGTGAAGCCAGGCTCTGAACCCACACCATGTTTTCACGCCGAGTGTTTTCTCACGGGAAGGTGGGCTGTGATTACTTTCTGTTCGGTGCTGCACAGGGCCCGGGAAGCTCACCCTGGTGCCTCTGGATCCTGCAGAACGCTCGTGTTTCTCTCCCTGTTTGCAGGCGTCACGGGCCTCCCCTGCTGGCCTGTGAGCTCCGGCACGTAGGAGAAGTGAGCATGGATTTCTGCATTCATGCATACTGAAACCTTACGATCTGGGAGTTCAAATTCACCTAGAACCGTTGGCCTCATCTTTATATTGACTTCAAATACATGCTGGAGCTCCACGCTTAGCTCTGTTTGTGGACTGTAAGACGCTTTAAATGAGTGGCCACTATGGCTCACAACTGAGATCCCAGCTACTTCGGAGGTCTAGATTGGGAGGACTGAGATATAAGGCCAGCCAGCCTGGACAGAATGTTAGTGAGACTCCATCTTAACAAACAGTCTGGGTCTGGTAGTGCTCGGCTGCCATCCTAGCTGCACAGCAGGCATAGATAGGAGGATTGTGGTGCAGCCCCCAAGCACAAGTGACGGACCTGAGAAATGGTGGAAGCAAATAGGGCCTGGGGGAATGGCTCGAGTGGCACAGTACCCGCCTACCAAGTGCAAGGCCCTGCGTTATGTCCAGACTTGCAGTGAGACCTTGGGTGAACAGGGTAGGCCCCACTTCAGACCTACCTGAGCAGGGCCCTGAGCCGGGATTCCCGGGGAAGCCCGGCCTCCCAGCCAGTCAGACTCAGCAGCTGTGGCTTGTTCTCCACTTTCCTGGGACGGGCAGCATCCACAGCCGTGCGGAGCCAGGTCTCCCCATCCGCCAAGACACTCAGAGAAGACTTGTCCTAAAATTGCAAACTTTTTTTTTTTCTTTTTTGGTAGTACTTGGATTTGAATTAGGGATTTTGTGTTTTCTAGATAGGTGCTCTCTGACACAGAGTTGTATCTCCAGTCCTAATTTTAATTTTTTTTTTTGTTCCAGTTTTGGGCCTTGAACTCAGGGCCTGGATACTGTCGCTGAGCTTTTAGCTCAAGGCTGGCTGGTGCTCTTCCACTTCAGTCATAGTTCTGCTTCAGGCTTTTTGCTGGTTAATTGGAGATAAGAGTCCCATGGATTTTCCTGCCTGGACTGGCTTTGAGTCACAATCCTTAGATCTCAGCCTCCTTAGTAGCTAGGATGACAGGCATGAGCTACTGGCGCCTCCCTTCGCTGGTCAATTTGGAGGCTGAGCCTTGCTTCCCATCCATCTGTAATCTGGCCACTCTAGGTTTCCATATTCGCTGGGATGACAGGCATGAGCCACCTCTATCCAGCTTTCCTCCGGTTTAGGAGTCTCAGCTCTTTTCCAGGTTGGGCTGGAATGTCGATCCTCTAGATCTCAGCCTCCCCTGAGCTAGGATGGTGGGTGTGAGCCATGGCACCCGGCTGCCAACACTGCTGAAGGACAGCAGGGCCCTGAGGGCTGCAGGGACAGTCGGGGTGCTAGGGTGGCACTCACTGGAAGCAGACCTTGGCCACACCTCGCCCGACCGACCACTAGGAGCTGGCCCGACAGGCCTGCAGCAAGCCCTTCCTGGCAGGCCCCGCGGGCTCTGTGGCCAAGTTCCCTCCTTCTCCCCACAGGAGCCCTGCAGATCGAGAGCAGCGAGGAGACGGATCAGGGCAAATACGAGTGCGTGGCCACCAACAATGCAGGCGTGCGCTACTCCTCCCCCGCCAACCTCTACGTGCGAGGTAGGGAACGCCGCCGTGCCAGAGGCAGGGACCCCCCACCCCACCCCTGGGCTCACAGCCACGGGCTCCCCCGACCCCCAGCCCCGAGCAGGAGGCCCTGCCCTGGGGTGCCAGCAGACTAGGACCCAGCCCCTGCTGGATGAGCCTCACCTGACCTCCTGTGGAAAACGGGGGTGGCTGGCCTCCTCTGCCCCGCGTCCCCCCCCCGCCGCCCCCCGTGGGCAGCAGGACTGGGGGATATGGTGAGGGTGGGGTAGGAGAGCAGGGGCGGGGTCACTGGGCCTTCAGGGCCGGGGGAGCCTGGAGGCTTTGCCCTGCGCCCCTCCCCTCCCCCAGTTGGCTTTCGTGGTGTGTTGTGGCCTTCCTGTGTCGTGTGCTGGCTTTGCTTCTCCGAGTTGTGGCCTCGTAGCTCCCCCTTCCCCGCCCCACCCAGTGCCCTGGATCTAGGATTGGGGAGGGGGGTATCTTGGAGGTTGCCTTCCTTCCCTAGTTTCCCCAGCCTCCCGGCTGTCCCAGAGCCGGGGGTGCGTTGAGTGACCCTCACAAAGGGACCCGTCTGGCCCGCACGGTCGCTGCCGCTCTGTGCTGCTCACCCAGCCAGCGCCCAGGGTGTCCCTCCCTGCGGTGGCCAGAAGCCCAGGGTCCCCGACAGCCATGTCTCCACCCCACCCCAGGAAGCCGTTCTCCCAGAGGTGCAGGGGGCTCTGCCCCCACGTCTGTCAGCCCCTCTTTGACTCTCTCGGGTCCGTTCAGAAGTCTTCATCTCCCCTCCTCCTCCTCTTCCTGTCTTCCCACCCTCTGATGGCCGTTCCTGTCACTCATTGGTAGTTGGCTCAGTAGGAACTGACTGGGCTGCATCCTTCTCCCTGCCTCAGTTTCCCACATGTGGTGTGCCAGGCCCCCTGAGTGCCCCCTGGGGAGCGCAGTGGGCCTGCCCACGGCCCCTGCCCTTCCCGCACCTCAGAGCAGCTCCGGGATGGTGGGTTTGCACCTGGCCTCTGAGGAGGAGGAGGAGGAGGAGGAAGAGGAGGCCGTGGGGGGCGGGCGTGGGGCGGGCCCGTGGATCTGCCGCCAGGGTGCTCCGGTGAGTTCTGATGCGTTTGCCAGGCTAACCTGTGTGTTTTCCTACCAGCACTGGGGATGGGGTGTGTCTGGTAGGGCTCAGTGGAGAGTGGACGGCCGGTGAGGGTGGGTGGGCAGGGCCTTTGGTGAAGGCTCGAGGGGCCCTCTGTGTCCTTGGCCCCGGAGCTGGGGTCCCAGCCTGAGCCCCCTTCCTTCAGGGCCAGGCCAGGACCCGGCTCCATCTCTGTTCTTTGCCTGGGTCTCAGCCGCTCCAAAGTTGAATTTAGAGAGAATCAAAAAAGCAAATGTAGACTTTGTATGACCAGAGCAGGGTGGAAGACAGAAAAGGTCGTTGCTGTTCCTTTTCCTTTTTAATTTTAATTTTTTTTTAATTTTTTTGGTTTAAAGAAAAAAAAGAACAAAAACGATTGCAGCTTTAGCCTTGGGAAGTCCTCTTTTTACTCTCTGTATCTCCCCTATTTTTTCTCTCTTCCCCATGTCATTGTTCTGCATCAAACCCCCTTAACATCCCTCAGAGCTTCGAGAAGGTTGGTGTGTTTTTTTCCTTTTTACTTTCTTTACCCACATTTTTACATTCTGAGAAAAAAAATGACACACACACACGAAACACACAGACACCGTGCAGACACGCACAGACATGCACACAGAAAAAAAATCTAAAATATGAATATGAACGATAAAACAGAAAACCACCAAGCAAGAGCAAAACCCAGAAAGACACAAAAATCTCAGCCGCGCCCAGCCCGGCTCAGGGCCGGCCGCACACATGCGATGCTTGCATTGTGGTCCCTCTGCATCCGTTGGTAATGTTGTTGCTAAGTTTCTGCACTCGTCGTCATGGTAACTGGGCCTGATGCATGCTGGGAGAATGTAAAATCTTTCTGCATGCCACTCTTGTTGGTTTGGTGACCCCCCCAATGCCTTCTGTTGGAGTGTTTCTTGTCTTCCGTTCTGTGTTTCTTTTGGTTTTCTTGTTATTTTTTTCCTTTCTTTTTAATTTCCTTTACAATTTTTTTCTTTTTTTTTGGGGGGGGGACTTGATTGGTTTGTTTTCCCCCCTCCCACCCTCTCAGTTGTCCACTTCTCCAAAGCAATTGGTCTTTGGTCCTGTCTTGTTTCTGTGCTGTTTGGTTTTGGCTCCCTGGGCTGAGCTGTTCTGGTCTGTGGCTGCTCTCCAAATGCATTGTGACTCCAAAGCCAGTGTTCCTGTCCCCGGTCCCCACGGAGGGCAAGGGCTCCACAGCCGTGACGCGGGTGCAGAAAGTGACCGTACAGGTGTGGGGGTGGGAGGGGGACCAGCCCCAGGGGCAGGGGGCAGCCCCTCTTCCCAGAGCTGGCTGGTGCCCGGGCGCCCCTCTGGACAGCCCTGTGGGCCTTTCTGTCTGTCTCTGTCTCCCACCCCTCATCCTTGCAGACTGAGGTGGAGTTGGAGGGCTGTGTGAGCCCTGGTTCTCCATCCCTGACCCGGAGCAGGCCAGATGAGCAGGGATGGGCGGCCCAGCACCCCCTTCAGGCTGGGCGTGCTTGGTGCTCACCGTAAGTTCAGGGATAGTTGGTGCCCCCGCCTCCTGAATCCTGGCCAGGCACAAATCCAGACCTGCCCATCCCCAAACCATGAGGCACGGCAGACTGCAAGAAATGATCGGCCAGTTGTCTGGCCCCAAGTGTGTGCCAGGCTCCATGCCAGGCCCACAGGGAGCGTGGTCACTTTCTGAGTCACCTGAGCGTCGACGCTGTGGAATTCCACAGAAAACCGGGGGACTTCTGGACACAGCCTCTCTCCCGCTCTCTCTCTGTCTTCCCTCTTCTCTGACTCCCCCCTCCCTCCCTCCCTCCCTCCCCACTTCCTCTTCCCCCCCCTCCTCGTCTCTCTCACTTCTGCAAACCTCTCCCCAAGAAAGGCCTTAGAGTCCCCCCAACTCCAGATCACAAACAGCCCCGACAAGGTTGCTCTTGGGGTGCACGCGTCACCCAAGTTTGTAGCCTAGATGGCAGCTGGAGCCCTGGCCATCCCGCCCACACCCCACACCCTCGCCTGCCTTCTGTTACGATGGGGCCCCCAGAATGCGCTTGCTGCCACCCTTACCAAGGCGGTGCCCAGCTGCCCGCCTGGCCCCAGGAAAGCTCCCGTAGGGAAGGGGGCTGCCCAACCCGCCACCAAATCTAGGTCCAGGTGCCCCACCGCTGAGGGAGCGGCCCTGGACTCCCGCGGACTCGGGCCCCAGCCGCCCAGCTGCATCCCGTGACCCTGGGCCGGTCATTGGCCCTCTTGTAGACTGTCCATATCCTAAGAACAAGCTGAGCGGAGCCCAGCCTGCAGGGTAGCGGAAGCCTATCAGGCCCCCGAGTAGTCCCTGTTCCCACGGGTGCCTGTGTAGCACGAGGAAGTCAGAGCCAGGCCTCACTCTCACGCCCCATCTTCCTGCCCTGCCCCTCCATGGTGGCAGAAGCTACTTCATTCCTGTAGACTGGAGCTTTTACTTAGCTTTTCTGAGCCCCCTGAGCTCCAACCTAGGTAGGGGGCTCCTCCAAACCCACTGTACCCCCACCCCAAGCCCCTGGGCCAGAATGAAGGTGAGGGCTGAGCCAACCTTGCAGGTAACTAGCAGCCTGCCAGGAGACTGGTCCCAGCCCACTGTGCTGCTCAGAAAGCTACAAGCATTCTTCTGCCTTGTTGTGGGTCGCCTCGGGTGCCCAGCCCCGGGAGCCTGCGGGAGGTGAGGGGGACCACTCTCCCCGTTAGTTTTCTTGTGTCCTTGAAGTTGCCAAGCTCTTGGGGTATGGCTTAGTGGCCAGGACCGCTGTCTTTACCGACTGGTGTGGCCACAAAGCACTGTTCTCCACAGCGCCTGCCGGTCAAATGTGTCCCCCTTGGCTGCGACAGGAATGTGAGCAGGTTTAAGGGATGGGGGTGGGTGCTAGTGCCCCCACACCCCACGTCTCCCTCACAGCCATTGAGGGTTTGAACCCAGGTCTTTGCATCAACCCTCACCACGCCACTTGCAGGGCGGAAGTCTTAAACTGAACGACGGGGTTATCTCTAGATAGCCCACGGCAGGAGTAGAAACAGGGACTGGGCTCAGATTTCATTTCTTCCAGCCATGCTGGCCTTGCTGGCCACAAGCACGCGTGCACACATATACACACTCATACACACGTGTGCGCACATGCATCCATCGGGCCCCTGACCGGATGTGGATGTATCAGGACCCCAGCCCCTGTCATCCTACCCCAGCCCAGGGGAGAGGGGCTAGGGGGTGGGGGCTCCGCTGGGGTGAGGGGCCATGGGGTTGCAGGACTGCGGGGCACCGCAGGAACACTGAGCTGACCCCGCCTGCTGCCTGTGCACCGCGCTTCCTGTGTGGGTGGGCTGAGGGCTGCTAGCTTACACCTGTCCTTCGGCTCGAGTGGGGGGGTGGGGGCAGGCAGGCAAGGGCAAGATCTGGGGAGGGGGTTGACGAACAGGAGACGGGGTAGCCCCCCGCCCCCCACCCAACGATGAACACGAGTCGACAGCACAGCAAAATGCCCAGTTCGGAGGTCGGCAGCAAGGCCTGGGCCCGCCAGTCTCTGGGCGCTGTGTTTGAGGCGGAGGGAGGGCTGGCAGCAGGGGGCGTGCGCGCCAGGCAGGGTACAAGGAGGGTGCAAGCAAGCTTTGGGATGGGGTCTCTGACCGCTCCCTGGACAGGTGTAATCTAAGCTTACATCCGCTCCCAAGGCTGCTCAGCTCCCATCTCCCCCCCCCCGCCTCCTATCCGTACCCTCATTCTGGGGTGCAGAGAAGCCTCGCATACTTTCTCTCTCACCCCAAAATGCAGAGCCCCCCGCTTGCTAACTCATTGGGATGTGTGTATCACTGCTGAGCCCCACCTGGCGTCCACCCAGAGCACCTCACTTTTGAGTTCCCTTCCCACCCACCCTCTTCTCCCTGCCCCGCTTCCCTGGACCCCCACTTTTGTTCTTTTGAGTTTTTGCCTCTTCCTGCCTGGGGGAGGGTTGTCTCCTGGTTGCTTTGAGTTGTTTTTCCATGTGAATCGGGGTTTGAAGCGACCACTCCCCACCCACCACCCCCTCCCCGCCCCGCCGCCCACCCTCCCGACCCCTCGCCACGCGGGTCCCTCCACTGGGAGCCCCGGCCGCTCGGTGACGAGAAGAGCTGGGGACCAGAGCCAGCTGGTGCGTGCTGAGGACAAGGCTGGTGTGGCCCCTCATAACCCGCCTGGACCCTCCACTCAGGTCGGTAATCGGGGGCCAGGGTCCCTCGGGGCCTCTCCGTCCCAGGGTCCTGTGCTCACCTTATTTTCTAACCTGCACCTCAAGCTTGCAGCAAGGGGTGGAGAGGACATGGGTGGGTGTCCGCACCACGTTGGGCAGAACACAGCGTCGGCCGTCCGTGGCGGCCGGGTGGGCCTCGCGGCAAACCAGCCCCTTCGGTTGGGACCACGTGGGGGAGGCCACGTGGGGCCTCGGCTGACAGCTAGTGTTGTCACAGCACCTTCCACCTGGGGTCCGGCTCACGGGTGATGGGCCTGCGCGTTGCTTTGTTCCATGCCTAAGGGTTGGGGAGATTTTCCAAGTTCCGGTGCCCTTGGTATTTCAGATCAGATCAGATGGGAGCAGGTTCTAGCACGGTGCAGGCCCGTATGGGGGCCTTACTGGCCTCCTGTTGAACCGCGGCACTCAAAAAGGGGGCCTAGGGTCTCTGTTCCTGCAGCACCTGCGGGGGGGGCCGCTCTGATGGCTTCTGGGCATCTGTTAGGGAGCTGTGGGGTTACCACCCCCATGGCTGGAACTCCTGGTGGGTGTTATGCAGCTGGGGGACCCCCTGCCACCTCGGTGTTCCCAGAGGGGAGGGACCTAGAGGGAGAGGGCCTGGTGGCCTCCACGCCGGCCTTCCCCCAGTGCTGGTGGGCAGAGGCCGGGAAGCCGGGCTTCTTGCTCCCCCGCACTCCCCTTCCTCGCTGAACCCTCGCGTCCCAGACCTCAGCTTCCCCGTCCACCCCTAGGAAGGCTGAAGCACCCCCTTGCTGCCTGGCTGCTCTGTGTGGCCGGGTGAGCACTAAGCAGCCCCCACCCCAGCTGTGTGCTCAGACACATCCAGATGTCTGCATTTACAAGATGGGGAAACTGAGGCTCCTGCAGGGTGGGCAGCCACACAGAGCTGGGTGTTCTGAGTCCACCCGGCTCGGTTGTCCGATAGGGGCCGTAGAGATATACTCAGGGGCAGCTGGTTTGCCACGAGACCTTTCTTCACAGTGACCCCGGCCCTGGAGGCCCGGTCCCCCAGCCGAGGCCCTGGTGTGGTGGGGAGGTCCGATCCTGTGTTCTGCCGGCAGGGAGGGGCAGCTCCCTGGGAAGCCACAGCCCCTGTGTTCAGACCCCGATTTTCAGCCCCACACCATTCCATTTTTCCCCCCTTGCTTTTGGGTGTTGCGTTTCATTTTGGAGGGATGTTTTAGTTTAATGTGGTTTTTTAGGATTTTTTTTTTTTGCTTTTGCTTTGTTTTTGTTGTTATTTCTCTCCTGATTTTGGTTTGGACGTCGGTGCCGTTTTCTGTCCTGGATTAATTAGCTCCCTCCGCTCATCCCCATCGTCCTCTGTTTCCATGACAACACAGCCTCCGCATCGCCTGCCCAGCCTCCCATGGAGGCCGGCGGCGGGCTGCTGGCCTGGACCATGTCCACTGGCCGATCGGACCCATCGCTCCCCTGCCCCCCTTCCACCGGCCCTGCCCGACGCTCCCCCATCTCAGCACCCCTCACCTCCTCTGTCTGCATGGCGCATCTCTCTCCCCCGCCCCATTCCTCCCCTCCAGCGGCGCCTGCCGCCCTCCATCCTGTCTCCACCGTGACTCTGGACTTTTCAGGGGGCTCCTTTTCTGAAGGGCTGTAGCTCCTACCCTCACTGTACCCCAGATTCAGGGAACGGGTCAGGGTCTCCGATGAGGGGCCAAGGCTGGAAGGGAGTGGAGCAGTGAGACCGTCTTACAGCAGTCCCGGCCCATCCGGGTGGCCACACACCCAGCCTCAGGGTACGGGGACACAGCCCCAGCACCGCCCTGACTCAGCCCCCGTGCTCGCTCAGGTCCACAGAGGTCACTGGGGCCAAGGCCTTTCTGCCCGAAGTCTAGCTTCACCCCAGCCCTGGTTAAACATCCGCCCCTCCCCCCATCTTCCGAAAACGGAGCCCCCGAAATCCGTCCTGCCGCCTTCCTCGCCTGCGAGGTCCCCACAGAAGGCGGCATCTGCCCCTCACTGCTACGAAACGCAGAGTGGCCCTCCCTCCATGTTCCACCATTCCCCCGACTACCCGTGACTGGTTCCTGCCCATGGCGCCCGGGAGATGTGGGAACGTGCGCCCACATTCCCCCACACCCGCTAGAGCCACCGCGTAGCCTTCGAGTGGGTCCCCGCCTCCTTGTCTGTGCCCGTCCCCCTGTCCCCTCTCTCCTCTCCCGTCCCTCTGTCCTTCCTGGTGCCCCTGCATCACCCTCTCTATCCTGCTCTCTCCTTTCCCCTCTCCTCCCCTCCACTCCTCACCCACTCTTTTTCTCTCCGTCCCTTCCTCCCTCCCTCCCCCTCTCCCTCTCCTTCTCCCTCTCCCTCACTCTCCCTCCTTCCCCCTCTCCCTCCCTCCCTCTCTCTCTCTCTCTCTCTCTCTTTCTCTTGCCCTAGTGTGCATGATGTCTGTCACTTTTGAGACCTGCATTTATGGATGGAAACTTGTCAGATCTGACAGAAGCTTTTAGAAGGGTTTCTATACCCCACACCACAAAAATTTCATCAGAGTTTCTCATCTTTTCCTTGGGGGGAGGTGGTGGGGCCGCGAGTCCCCAGAGCAGCCCCAGCGGGGTGGGACAGTCCAGCTCCAGGCCCTCCCTCTCTGCCTCCTGGCCCAGAGACCCAGGGAGCTGATGAGCTGTGCTCCCCGCCTGCCAGTCTCCTGTACCCCGGCCGCCGCAGCCAGAACCTTCCAGTGCCCTGCACCCAGGCTGCAGCCCTGACTCAGAGCAAAGATGAGAAACAGCTGATAAATTTTTGTGCTTCTGAGCGGCGACCCCAGCGGTCCCCGAAGCCCCGTTTTGACGTGACGCTTCGTGTCTCTTGACTCGAGATGGAGAACTCTCTATTGTTTGTGAACTACCTTCCTTTGAAGTTTGGTTTCTTTGTGTTAGAATTTGGTTTTTTCATTTGGTTATTTTGTTTTCTTTTCATTTTGGGGGGGGGAAACTGACTGGGGGAAGAAACAGCCCTGTGTATATTTAAATGGTGTTCTACTTTTTTTTCTTTTCCTTTGTTTTTCTTTTTTGTCTTTTTTCCTTTCTTCCTCCACATCCAATCCCCCCACCTTGCGGCCGTCCCCCCCCAGTCCGCCGCGTAGCCCCCCGCTTCTCCATCCTGCCTGTGAGCCACGAGATCATGCCTGGCGGCAATGTGAACATCACCTGCGTGGCCGTGGGCTCGCCCATGCCATACGTGAAGTGGATGCAGGGGGCCGAGGACCTGACGCCCGAGGACGACATGCCGGTGGGCAGGAACGTCCTGGAGCTCACTGACGTCAAGGACTCGGCCAACTACACGTGCGTGGCCATGTCCAGCCTGGGCGTGATCGAGGCCGTGGCCCAGGTCACCGTGAAGTGTAAGCCGGGTACAGGGGAGGGGGCCGCAGACTGAGCTCGTGTTCCCCCTGAGTTCTTTGGACATATCACTTCCTGGCTGTAGATCAGCGATGGGCGCTCTGTGCACTGCGGGGCAACTTGGTTGTTAGGCAAAGATCTCAGCGTGTGCGTGACAAAGCTGGAAGGTGTTGGGGCAGTGGCTGCAAAGGAGACACATGGTGGGCATGGTGGGCAACACTCAGGAGGCACAGTCAGGAGGGTCACAAGTCCCAAGCCAGCCTGGGCTACCAGCGTGACTCTGTCTGAACAAAGCTCTGCCCAGGCCGGAGCGGAGGCGTGGCGTGACCCGTCCGGCCAGCCACAGCAAAGTTGGTACAAATTAACTTTTATGGGCACGCTGCACAGTCACTTCACAGCTTTTGGGCCACCTTGGCAAAGCTGAGTGGAGAAGCGCGCTGAGGGCTGGTGGCATGCCAAGTTTGCCCCGGGGCCCATAGGGAGGGCGCGATTCTGTGCTTCTGGGCCTGTGTTGCTCCAGGCTTTGAGCAGCAGGGACAGGCAATGGTCAGAGCTGGGAATGGCACCCAGGTCTCCCAGTGTGGAGGATGTGGGGAGAGGCGTAGCTGTGGTGCTGCTTGCCCGGGTGGCGGGGGCTTCAGGAGGGACGTGCAGGGAGAAGTGGGAGCAGACAGACCTGGGTGACCAGAGGGATGGGGCTGCAGACATCTTAAGAGACTGAAATACTTGTGTCTGTGTGTGTGCCCATGCACGTGTGCCTGAACTTTTGGGCACAAGGCTGGGGTTCTACCACTTGAGCTACAGCTCCATTTTGGCTTTTTGGTATTTAATTGGAGATAAGAGTTTCATGGACTTTCCTATGCCAGCTGGCTTTGAACCATGATCCTCAGATCTCAGCCTCCTGAGTAGCTAGGGTGACAGGCTTGAGCCACTAGCACCCCACTTCTTTTTAAAGGTCTGAAACAGGTACTTGAACTTGGTACCTGACAACTTGTGCTCACTGGCTGGTGCTCTACCAACTGAGCCATGCCTCCACCCCCTACTTTTCTGGTAAATACTGTTCTAGGAAGCAGATGTTTTCAGGCTGGGTATAGTGGCTCACACCTGTAACCTTAGCTACCTGGGAGGATCCCAAGTCAGCTGCAGCATGAGTGTTCACAAGACTGGACCTCCACATGTGTCTGGGGCCGGTGGGGTTCCTGCCCTCGCCCGTACCAGGAGCGACCACACGGGATGATCAAGGCCACTGTCCAGGCATTAACGGTCACCCTATCTTTCTCGAAAGTAACCCAACCCAAAGTGGGTCTGGGCTGTGCTTCAGTGGCAGGGGTCATGATCAGGCGTTGGCCGCCTGCCTAACTTGTGTGAGACCCAGAACTCAGTCCCAGGCTCTGCCACGCACAGATCGCATGTTCTCAGCTTCCTGGGTTGTGTGGTCACAAGTGCTCAGCCTCCATAACAGGACAGCACGTCAGCATGGCTGTGCTGCAGTAAAAACTTTATTTGAAGACACAGGTGCCGGGCCGTTGACTGGAGCCCTGTGCTGCAGAGCTGGGGTGGGGTGAAGGCTCAGAGAGGGTGGTGATGTGGTCAGAAGCCACATGGCACCCTGTGCCTCTCCTGTAACCCTGCCTGCCCCTTGCCCACAGCCCTCCCCAAAGCCCCCGGGACCCCCGTGGTGACAGAGAACACAGCGACCAGCATCACCGTCACCTGGGACTCGGGCAACCCGGACCCTGTGTCATACTACGTGATCGAGTACAAGTCCAAGAGCCAGGATGGGCCATACCAGATTAAAGAGGACATCACCACCACACGCTACAGCATTGGTGGACTGAGCCCCAACTCTGAGTACGAGATCTGGGTGTCGGCTGTCAACTCCATTGGCCAGGGCCCCCCCAGTGAGTCGGTGGTGACTCGCACGGGCGAGCAGGCCCCAGCCAGCGCCCCACGGAACGTGCAGGCCCGCATGTTGAGCGCCTCCACCATGATCGTACAGTGGGAGGAGCCCGTGGAGCCCAACGGGCTCATCCGCGGCTACCGCGTCTACTACACCATGGAGCCCGAGCACCCTGTGGGCAACTGGCAGAAGCACAATGTGGACGACAGCCTGCTTACCACCGTGGGGTCCCTGCTGGAGGACGAGACCTACACCGTGCGTGTGCTGGCCTTCACCTCCGTGGGCGATGGGCCGCTGTCGGAACCTATCCAGGTCAAGACACAGCAGGGGGGTGAGTGCACACACCGGCCCGGCACTGGGGCTCACGCCTGTCATCCCGGCTACTCAGGAGGCTGAGATCTGAGGATCGTGGTTGGAAGCCAGCCCGGGCAGGAAAGTCTGTGAGACTCTAATCTCTAGTTAAACACCCAAAAGCCAGAAGTGGCAGTGTGGCCTGAGTGGTAGAGCACTAGCCTTGAGTGAAAAAGCTCAGGCATAGCGCCCAGGCCTGCACCAAAAACAGTAATAAAACTTCAATATCACACACACACACACACACACACACCAATGCTTGGTAGGGTTGAAAAGCTTCAGGTTCTCCTGGAAGACCCCAGATTGGGCTCTGTGAGCCCATAGGGTATAGGCCGGCAATGCCTGGGCCGGGCTGGACTCCAGCCCCCACCCAGTGGCTTCTCCTCCTGGCCCTCGCGGCCGCCTGGCAGTGGGTTGAATGGGGTTCCTGGTCAGTAGGGGCGTCCCCCTCCTGCTGGGGCTCGCCTAAGCACGTGGGGCTCCAGTCCTGGACCTTGGCCACGGGAGTTCAGGCATTTGAAATCTAAAATGCGTGAGAACAGACGGCTGAGCTCAGCTAGGTGGCCGCACAGGGCGTTCACTGCAGTGGATGGCTGGAGCCCCCTGGGCGCGCGGAGGCCGTGGAGGAGCAATCTAGAAACATCCTCCCCGAGCGCCAGGAGAGGAGGGTCCCTGGGCTTGGGCCGCGCCCCCCATTTGCACTGGTCTGCTTCCCCAGTGCCCGGCCAGCCCATGAACCTGCGGGCCGAGGCCAAGTCCGAGACAAGCATCGGGCTGTCGTGGAGCGCACCAAGGCAAGAGAGCATCATCAAGTACGAGCTGCTGTTCCGCGAGGGGGACCGCGGCCGCGAGGTACCCTACCCGCCACTCACAAGCCCGGCCTGCGCTCCTCCCACCGCCATGGGCCGGCCCCGCCCACCGCAGCCCCGCCCTCCGCCATCCCC